ACCCTTTTTTTGTCCATATCTCCCTCGCATATGGGTCCCTTTTCCACACTCATATGCTTTGTCCCGATGAAGTTGAATGCCCATCAAATTGGCCCTACTTGCCCCTCCCCTTTCCTTGCGGGTGATCATCACAGGCCATCCAAGATTTGTGGTCATTTTTCCTCCGCTTGTTTCGAGAGTTCTAATATAATTTTAATTATAATTTTTTTCTCTAATTAAAAATTAAAATTATGAATTATAATTCTAGATATACGAATTAAACGTCACTTTTATTTTTACTTACAACCATATTTGGTTTGGAATGACTAGAAAATCACTAGTCACCTTTTTTTTTTTTTTTTGCAACAATTACCGATGGATGACTTTGTGGGGTATATCATAATGAAATTCATTTTGAAAAGTATATTTATCTAGAGAAGTTTGATAACGATATGGCCGTTAATCTTGGCTGAGTAGTCCCTCACTTCTGTAGCTATCATTTTAACTTTTCATCCCATTTTAGTTTCTTATATATATTCACTACCTAATTTATGATATTATGTCACACTTATCTTGTTTGAAAAGGATCTTGTTTGAAAAGGAATTATTTAAGAAGAATGACCAAAAAAAAAATCTCATTCCTTCGTCGTTTGAGAATAATTAATTTTGATTTTTTTTAATTTTATTTTTGTTATACTCGACAATATTGTTGCTTTTGAAATCAAATGCTCGTTTCTTTTATACAAAGCCAAACAACTTTTCACATAGTTTTTGCAAGAGTCAAATGGTAAGGGCAAACACTTGCCAAAAAAAATGCTATGATATAATGCAGGATTCAGCAATTTTTAAAAAAATACTAAATAGATTCTGACCTTCCGATTAAATACAGGGGGACAGTAAGCTCTTAAAGATGCTCACAAAAAACAAAATAATGTTGGATTAGGTAGATAAACCGATTGTTTATGAAGTGGTGTCTTTATTAGTTTTAGTTTTTGCCTTAGAGCATTAAATAATCCTCACGGACTTGAATCACAAATTCACAGTGAAGATTCGAGTATCTATGAAATAATGCACGCTATTAAGTAATATTCAAAACGAGGTATTTAATTCATTGGTAACTCATTTTTATATCTTTTCTAGAGTAAATCTACTCAACAATTACCAACAAGAATTCTCTCTCTCTCTCTCTCTCTCTCTCATGTGTGGATTTATCTTTTATTTTTTTATTTTTATGAAAGTGTGGATTTATCATTATGTTGTTTATGCAACTATAGTAACCATGTTATTTATCGCATATCCTACATATATAACCTTCAATGAGTAAAAATAGGCATCAAATGGGATTTAGATGAACTAAATTAGGTCAATCAGAAACCTTATCTACTAGTTTTTGTACTTCACATGGGTACGGACAGGTGGGGAGAAGAAAGAAAAAAATAAATTGAAAATCTGAAAATCAGAGAAGGTGGGTGGGATTTGATCCAAGAAAAATGTTGATGTAGGTAGGAATAAAATAGAAAGAGAGTAGAGTTTGTAGCGTGTGAATGTGACAGAAACAAAAGGGTCTGGGGTGGCTCTGATCAAAGGGAGCCCCAAATGCCCAACACACCAAATCTCTCACACAATCCCAATGACCAACACCACCCGCTGGTTTCCTTCTTGGAAACACCACCACCCTTCTCCTCTCCCCCTCACACCTTCTTTATTTTATAATTTATATATATATATATATATATATATATATATACACACACACACACACATTATATATAGTTTCTTATTTATAGGATCCATAATCCATAGCATGAAAGAGTCAAAGGGATGAGGCAAAAGCTAACATGACATGTACTTTTATTTTTTTTTTCCCCTTAATAAAAAAGGTGCATGGAGAAGCAATTAGTTGTAGTTATTTTTTTAGCGTGATTCAAGGGTTTTTACGCGCTAAGTAATATTCACATTACATTATTGACATGTAGTTACTTGTGTCGGAAAATGAAACGTGTGATTTCAGCTCCATCAAAAATTCATAAAATATTGAGCCGCTAACTTAAAAATAGTATTAAATTTTTTACACATGACTTATCATACATTTATTTTAAAAGTTTAAGCAGTTTTTTATTACAGTATTATCTCTCATATAATTTAAATTTCTATTAAGAATTTTTTGTTCCAAGTCTATAAAACTAAATGAGCTCTTAAACTTGATATCTCTCATCTACTCCCCTAAAAAAAAGAAATAGAAAAATAATTCTTGTATCTAGAATATCACTTGAGAGAATAAGCCCAATGTCATGAAACTACCATATAATAATTCTTGATATCTCTCATCTACTTTAATACTAGCTATTTTTATCGTTTCTCATTAAAATATATTTTAGTTTCAACTCAAATTATAAGTTGAATTATTTGCATACTTATTTATATTTTAAATATAGAAACAATTAAAGAAAATAACTATAACTATTTTGTAAAAATAATTTTATTTTAAAAAAGCATGGATGGGGTTTTGAAGTTTTGTTGCACTTCAACATCCTTGCTTGCATGCTTTTAATTTTTTTTTTCATTTGTTTTTTTTTAAAATTGTATTTTGCAGCTTTTTTTTCCTTCTTGATTTCTTTAATTGTATTTTAAATGTTGTTTTTTTCTTCTTCTTTTTAAATCTTATATTTTTTATTATTTTCCATTAATTTTCTCTTAACATCTCATTTATCTTTTTTTTTTTTTTTACTTTCATAAATATTTTCCCTAATAAATCTCTATACACTTTTCTATATTTCTATACTTACAGGAGAGAAGATGTGTAAATTTTTCATTTTTTTTTCAACCATCATTATGTATAATATGAAATTGTTGATTTTCATAGAACCATAATTTTACTTAGGATAAAGTTTAAAACTTACTAACAAGTTTACACTATTGTTGTAAAATTTTTTATAAATATCATTTTTTAATTTATAAAATAATTATAAGTTTACTATATTTATTTATGTTTATCATTATTAAAACACTGTTGGCATCATTTAAAAAAATATGGTTAGCCTGCCTTGTTCCAATCTTGCTAAAAAAAATTCAAATTATTAGCATATTTATTTATATATTTTCAAAAAAAAAAATGTTTGTATTGAAACATTACTTGATAATTTTAAATAGCTTTACAAAACATGCAAATTGCAAAGTGAAAAGCTTATTAATAAGTGGTCGGTGGCGGAGTCATATTGATCTCAATAAAGCATGTGTCTTTATTAAGATTTTGTAATTTTTTATTATATGAAAATCTTTAATAGATTTTTAATTGTATCCTTATGTAATGATGAAAATTATAGTTATTTCCTCACTTAATTGAAAAAATTACACTTGTATCCTACTTAGTAATAAATAGGAAATCTTTATAAGAGGGGTTATTTTAGTGGTAGTGCACATTTTTAAGCATTAAATTTGATCAAAATTTTTAGAAAAAAAACTAACCGAATTTTATATAAATTAAGGAGTTTATTCGATAGGTCGTCCTATCGGTAGGATTTATTTTGTGGTTGTTAGATCTTGTTAAAATTATATTAAATTAAAAAAATATGCAGTGTAAATAATTTTCGATACAGATCTAACGTTTTAAAAATATAAAACTATCGGTAATCTATTTTTTTTTTATCCTACTAGAGAAACTTAGCTCACTATAAATTAACGGTTCAAACTTCAAAACATAACTTACCATTTTCCATACCGTGCTATTTCTTTATTCTAGTTATATTCATTTATTATTATTATTATTATTAGATCGCATTGATACTAAAGATCAGTAGTAATGTCTAGCATTGCCAGGTTTCCATATAAATGCTGGCATCTCTATCTGGCATCTAGAATGGAGAAGTGTAGGTTTTTTTTATAAGAGAAGAAGTGTAGGTCCCATTCACTTCGCTGATTCGAGTTTAGAATTCGAATTGAGATGTGACTTTATGTGAGAGTTTTTTACTGTAGTAAAAAAATTAGATGTGATTGTTTATGAGAGCTTTTTACCGTAGAAAAACTTAAATTTTAAATTCGAATCAGCGAAGTGAATGGGGCTTAAGGTTTTTTTTTCTTTTTAAAAAAAATTTGGGAAGGGAAGTGTAATTAAGTTGCAAATAGGAGGGATTGGATGGGGGCTTAAGGTTTTTTTTTTTTTTTTTTAAATTTGGGAAGGGAAGTGTAATTAAGTTGCAAATAGGAGGGATTGGATGAGTAGCAATTTAAGAAAATAAAGTAAAACAAAGAGAAGGAAAGTGGGGAATTATTAAAAGAGCATATTGTGGGGCTCTAGGTGGGACCGATGGGAGTGAAACGTGGCAACCATGCCAAGGCTAGTGATGTAGATCATAGGAAGGAGATGGGAGGGTGGCCTTTGTGGGGAGGCACATGGGTGGTGTTTGGTTCAAGAAAATCATGTGATCACATGTGCTCTCTCTCTCCCCTCTCCCTGTTTGTACTTGTGGGCCCATTTCCTCCCTCTCTAAATGAACCTATCCACAGGTGATTCTCTATGTAAAGCCCCCTTTTAATCACACTCGAATCCACTTGCGCGTGGGGATTACTCCCTTCTTGCTCTGAGTGTTAACTTTTCATTTTTAATTGATTAAAAATCTGTACAAGTGCATAATTTTACTTATCAGTAACAATAAAAATGAAAAGACAAAAAAAAAAAATAATAATAATAATAATAATAAGAGGATGTTTTCATTATGTAAACATGTGGTAAGTTGCATTCACTTCAGAGATTACCTTTTGCATTTACTACATTGAATTCCTTACTCGAGTGATCACAGAAGTGGTCCACGTATTTACTAAAATTTGCCTTTTCATCTACATATATTTTTTTTTTATATTTAAACTATAAATTCTATCTACAAGAATGTCTTGAATGCCTTAGCTCAATAAATTACAACCTTTGCCGTGAAAAAAAAAAAAATGTTATTAACCCTCTCTGTACCTACTAGTACCAACTGTGGAGTTTTGATATCATGTTTTGCAACAAATTCTTCTTAGATATATCCTATTAAAACTCCGGATTCACAGTTTGAAAAAGAGAGATGGTTCTTTTTCATTATTATTTTCGCTCAAATTTAAAATAATATATAAATATATTGACGTATTTTTAATAATTACATTTTTATTAAATTATATTTTTAATAATTATGTTTCTATTAAATTATATTTTTAATGATTATGTTTTTATTTATAATTAGTAATTTAATGACGTAGACTCATTAATTGTTATATAAATATATATATATATTTTTTTTTTTGTTATACGACAGCTTATTTGGGTGTAGTGTGTTTAAAGTATGCATTTTTTTATGCTAGTCGGTAGCTAATATATATAATGGTTTTTATGCATTTTGCTGGAGTCAATTTTCATCTTAACTCCAAATCAATCAATTCAATCTTCCTCTCACTAAAACACTCTCTTTCTATCTCTAATTTGACAGAATTTCTGTAAGTAAACTTGTGAAAAAGATACCTTTGCCCTTTGTCTTCTTACTATTTATAAATTTTTGACTGTGTCATGATTTATGGTCCGTTTCGTTCATTAATTTGAATTTTTAATTTGAGTTGAGATGTGACTTTATATTAGAGTTTTTTACCGAATTTTTTATTATAATAAAACTCAAGTTTTAAACTCGAATATGTGAAATATAAACAGGCCTTAGAGTCTCATTTTAATCCAATCATTCTACTTCTTGTAATCCGGCTTTGAAAATTTACTCAATTGCCTTGGAACAGACTTATTCAATAATTACCTTTCTAACACACCAAACATCATCGTTTTACTTTATTTAAACGTAATATAAATATTTACTCCCCACACGTTTGATGATTGGTATTTTTGTAGTCTAGCCGAATCAATTATTGGTGTGTATATATAGCTCGTTACCAGGTCAGCCCCAAACATTTAGGCGGACTGATTCACGCCGGGACCAGAGTAATAGTGTTGGCCTCAGATCAGCCTATTTAACCTGATTTAAATTTACAATTTTATATTCAATCAGCATTTCATATTTTTAATTAAATGATTAATGATTTAACTTTTCTTCACTCAACGACTAATGAAATAGTTAGTTATTGTAGAAAGTACATTTTACACTAACAAAATATAATAGAAGGAGCTAGTCATTTAATTTTTTAATTTTTAATTTTTTTTCAAACTGTAATAAATGAAAGGGTAAAATTTAATAAAATAATTTATATTTTAAATTTAATAACTATTAAAAAAATTTATTTAACTAAAATAAAGATATAGTTAAAAAGACTTCTAAAAAATAATAATGAAAATAACTTCCTAACTATTTAAACTACAATTCGAGGAGTTTCCTTACATTCTAACAAACCTTACTTGTATCTTTTCACATAAATAACGTTGGCCACAGTTAGTAAAGTAAACAAACCGTACGGTGCAAGACCACGCGCTTAAAACAGAGCGTGAGATCCAAACCCCCACGCTGGAATCCAAAAAGGCCCAAGGTCGGGGGCTTGGCCGCTTGGGAAGTCAAAAACCAGTGGGTCCAGTTTCGTTGGCATTTTTCATTTCTACAGCCACCACCCCCCCTCTCTCTCTCTCTCTCTCTCTCTCTCTCTCTCTCTCTCTCTCTCTCTCTCTCTCTCTCTCTCTCTCTCCCCTCTCGTTCCCAATAATTCAACCTTCTTCTTCTTCTTCTTCTACCCCTTCTTCATAACTCTCTCTCTCTATGGAAAACATGGCTAACAAAAGCACCCACATTCTTCCCAAGAATAATGCAGCTCTCAACAAGAGAAGGATCATCAACAAGAAGAGCAATATTAGTATTAATGTAAAAAAAAGCATTGAAAATGTTGAAGAAGAAAAACAAGAGAAACAAGAAAGAGAAGAAGAAGAAGAAGAAGACATTAGTAGTAATAGTAATAGTAGTAGTGTAGAAGTTGATGAGAAGGAAGAAGTGGAGAGAAAGATTAAGGCATTGCAAAGGGTCGTCCCCGGCGGCGAGTCTCTCGGCGTCGAAAAGCTTTTCGAGGAAACAGCCAGCTACATAATGGCCTTGCAGTGCCAGCTCAAAGCCATGAAAGCTCTTGCCTCTTTCTTTGAATCCTTGGACAAGGAGAAGAGGATGTTTGGAGGTTAATTAATTAAATTTATTTCAAATCTAAAATGTGTTGTTCTTTATCTTCTTCTTCTTCTTCTTCTTATAGATTTTTAGATAAGTGGTGATATTTTGTAGTGCCCTTTTTTCGTTTCCTTCCTTTTGATGGGAGCAAAGCAAGATTTCCCATCTTTTTTTTTTTTAATCTTTGTTAATTTGTTATAATGTTTATTCTGATGATATCAATGAATAGGAAGAAGGGTTGGTTTATTTGTGCTCACTAATAAGTAGTAATGAGTTTTATGGTTGTAGGGAAACCAAAAAAAGCAGAAAACATTTCTTCTCTCTCTTTTTTTCCCATTTTTGTTTGGTTCAATATTGTTTTAATCTTTCTATGGCTATGGTGATTGACTGTGAATGTTGGCATTGAAAGAGCTGAAAAAATTTATAGTTGATTGATACATATTTCTTCTTTGTTTGGAATGGGCCAAGCCCCCAAGGCTCTTCTGCATTAAAAAAAAAAAAAATATATATATATATATATAGTTGGAGATATAATCTAGCAGTATCGCTTCGCATCCAGAGTTCAAATTTCACACCATCAAATTTTTTTTTATAAAAAATAAAAATAATGAACATTTTGCATTGCGAAGCCTGCGTGCTTTTTGGTGTCTGTCCTTTTCTTTTCTTTTCTTTTATTTTTTTATTTTTTTGCGGAGAAAATTATTAGTGTCCTGGCAAAAGAAAACAAACAAGTGTATATGCAATCGTTTTATTTCCATTTCTTTCTTGTTTTTTATTCTACATTTTTTTTTTACCTTTCTTCTTTTTATGATTAGAATGGGAAATTCCAATTGGTAGCTTTCGTAATGTGTGTCTGTACATATGTACAAAGATGGAAACTTCAAGTATTGCAATTCAGTCACGAAGAAACTATAAAGACTGATAGTTACTTCTCGTTTACAAATGGGTCATTTTGAATAAATGTTTTCTGGAAAAATCTGACATTTATATTAACTCAGAAAACGTGGTAAACTACCAAGATTCAAATATTTGTCAAATAAAAAATCAGTATGTGACAAAATAAAGGATTTCTTTTAGCAAATTAATTATGCATATGGTTGAAATGTGGCAGAGTTCTAATCCTTGTGAACTTTATTTCAACCTTATCCATTTCGTTATTATTATAAGCTGGGGATGGATAATTGATGACTGTCCTAGCTTAGAGTGACCAATAAAAGGATCTTCAAATCCATACTATTTTATGAAACTTTTGTTTCATTTTTTTTTCCATAAAGTTTCTAATAGTGAAAGCAAGTAGGAAAAATGGTACAAGAATGCAAATGGAGGTGTCAAAAAAAAAAAGAAAAAGAAAAAGTTTTAGTAGGCTTGTTTATGTCAAAATGCTATCCCTATTGCTTGCTCATAATTGTATTAAAATGTAAAATTTCAAAAAGAAAAGGAAGAAAAAGCTATTTGCATATAGTTGGAGAACCCAAAAAAAGTGAACAAAGTTTGTATTAATTGGGATTTTTCTGATATAATTGTTATTATTATTATTATTATTATTATGGTAGTAAAAGTCAAAAGCCAAGTCCTTGTCTTGGTCGGACTAAAAAGTAATTTACTGATTTGCTGTCAGTCATTTTGCTAGAGTTTGGGAGACAGAGAGGCTTGATTAAAGAGCCTAATTTGAGAGGAAGATGAAGAGAAGTCAAGGGATGAGACAAACAACAACTAGCTCAATTAACTCAGTTATGACCGAATTTAAAATTTAACTTTTATTATAGTAAAAATTTTTAAAAATAGTCACATTTAATTTTTTTTATTACAGTAAAAAATTCTCATATAAAATCACATCTCAATTTAAATTAAAAATTTAAATTAATAAACTAAACGGGCCTTTAAATATTTTTTTAATAAATTATGAAAAAATGAACTATTAATACATTTTAAAGCTGCATAAAAAATTATATATTTTGTAAATATTTATTCATTTTAATTTTAATTATATTTAACAATTAAAAGATACATAAAAGGCTCTACTATTTAAAAAAAAAAAAAAATGCTGATTCATTTGGCCTTTTTCTAATCAGAAATCAAAAAGAAAGGGTTTGATTTGCTTTTGCGTGTGGTTAATCAATCAATCAATAAGCATTAGAGTTTGTGCATCCAGTGCATTGCTTTTCTACTGTTTTTGTCTAAGCCACAAAACTAGCTATTCGCTAAAAGGTGGTTTTCTTAAACACTCTATTAATTAGAGCCGACATATCTATACTTTTTAAGGTTTTATTATTTTTTATTTTATTTTACTTTTTTAAAGCTATTAGTTGAGTCAACATGTGCTGTCTGCCTTTTCGCACCATGCAAATGGTAAGGTCATATTTTGCTTACAAGAAATCACAAATCAATTACATATAAAATTTAACTGTAGGATATTTTTTTTTTCTTTTGAGCTTTGCCTAAGTGGGATTTTCATTTATTTATTTCTAAGAAATTCTTGGTTGTAAAGAAATTATTTTGATTTTTCTTTTCTCTTAAGGAAGTAGGAAAACAATATCCAAGCTATTAACTATATATGAGAATAACACGTGAATTATAGTTGGATCAGAGTCTATCTCTCTTGACCTTTGTTTCCAATTCAGATATTCAAAGATGCATCAAAAAACAAAAAAAAAAAATCAGATATTCAAAGATTGGGATTTTGGGGTTTGTTGGATTCCAAACATGGGGTTTCAAATACTAGAATTTGCAACTTTTAAGTTTGGATATTAATATCATAACGAGGTTGTGTTAAGATCTTAGGTTTACCTTCGATTCTTCGTGAAAACCTTTTAACACAAATATGAACAAGTGAAAAGTGCAACATAATATTCATTTTCTTAAACATTAATGTAACAATAACGTAGTAAAAGTATAACAACAAAGAATTTACATGTATTCTTCATTTTCTCCCTGAGTCCGTAACAAAGGAGACAAATTACCTGCGAATTGGCTTTTGAATCTTAAAAGAATTTAATTTCACTCACTTATCTGTGAAAATCAAAAAAAAAAAAAAAAAGAAATCAAATTGGTACCACTTTGTTGTTCTTTTGGCAGTAGGATGCATGCATTTGTGTAGCCAAGGCCATGAAATTCAAATAACAAATGACAAGGATAATATAAAAAGAGAGAAAAAAGGAAACAAAGAAATAGTTTGTTGCTTCAAAAAGAGGCCTGCCTTGACTAGTGGTCCCATGGTACATTCAAGGTATTTAGGCTATATGTATACATATGTATGTATATGTGTGTGTGTGTGTATATATATCCTGAAATAAGCTCTGAATGTAAATGGTTGACAACCTGTAAAACTTAATTCTCTCTTCATAAAATAAAAGCCATGTAGCAAAGCATAAAATACATTGCAGATATCGCCCATTCTCATTCTCTTCATCTTATTTGTTGACTTTGAGGCTGGAGGTTTCTTGGTCCCCTTGTGCATTGTGAATTACAAGAAAAATCTCATTGATATTTTGTCTCTTTTTTTCCCCCTTTTTTTTATGAATTACAAGAAAAATCTCATTGATATTTTGATATTACACACATATATATATATATACATATACACACATATATATAATATTAGATCACACTTTCATCTATATAGCAGGACTCAAAATTGAAGTCATTCTCATATACTTGCATGCACGCGCAGATGTACTTCTCTTCGATGCGGCTGTATCTTGTTATCGGTCCTCCTCCTTGAAATGGGCCTTGAATAGTCCAATTTATTGGCCCAATCGAAGAGGATTTGTAACTGGAGAATTTGGATTTGGGGTGATTTACATAAATGCCTCTCTTGAGAATCTTATTTTAAAAAATGCTTACTTTCTCGTTTATTTACAAAACTATTGACTATCACATCTTTAAAGATATTTTATCCTCGTATGATGAAAAAGGAAAAAAAAAATAATTAAACCACAAAAAAATATGAAAAGTGAGACAAAATCTAAAACATTAAACATTATAGATTTTTAATATAGAAAAGTCAACTGCCGTAAAAACCATAACAATTGCATTTAATGAAATTGTTTAATGATAAGTCAACTCTCTCATTTAAACAAAAAAAAGAACAAACTATCTGCACATTAAAAACACACACAAAAAGGCAGCCCTAAAAACTCCAAAACTCAAAAAAATATGTACAAAAACAATAAATATTTTCACTAAAATAATGATCGACTATAATGTAAAGGAAAAACAAAGCAAAAGGTAATATTATTTATAGAAAATCATTAAAAAATATTACATTAAAGAAGGAAAATAATCAGGGCGTATTGAAAGAAAAATTTTAATAAAGAAAAAATAAAAACTTAATTAAAAATATGTACAAAAGGAATAAGTATTTTCACTAAAATAATGATTAGTTATAATGAAAATGTAAAGCAAAACAAGTAAGTAATATTATTCGCAGAAAATCATCACAAAAACATTACAATAAAGAAGAAACATAAAAACTCACAAGAAAATATGAAGATAAAGAAAATATTTTCTCGATAATAATGACAGTAATAATAAATGAAGAAAAATGAAATGAATAACAAAAGAACATTTAAATAACCATTGAAATCCGAACAAATAAAGAAAAACAAAACCGAACAAATGAAGAAAAATGAAGAAAATGAAAAGGGAAAAAATGAGTATTTTCATTAAAAAAAATGATGACATAATAATGAATATGTAGGGCAAACAAAGGGGAAATAACACTCAGAGAAAATCACTTAAAAAACATCACACTCAATAGGAAACATGATCATACCATATGGAAAAGAAAAAAATCCACATAAAGAAGAAACATAAAAAGTAAAAAAAAACAAAATGTACATAACGAGTAAGTATTTTCTCAAAAATAATGAATAGATCATAGATATTTTCTCTAAAATAAAGAATAGAACATAATGAAATATGACACAAAAGATAAAAAAAAAAAATCTCTTCATTAATTTAGTCGCGAATTCATTGTGATGATCTAAGGCATCGTTCATTTCACCGATTCGAGTTTAGAATTTTAATTTTGTTACAGTAAAAAACTCTCAGAAACAATCACACTTAACTTTTTTGCTACAGTAAAAAGTTCTCACATAAAATCATATTTCAATTCAAATTAAAAACTCGAATCAGCGAACTAAATGAACTCTAAGAATGAATCCGAAATTTGAATGACCCAGAAAAATAAAAGAAAAAAAAACTTAATTAAATCAGTGCAAAACAACAAACCCAAAAAAGAAATAACCCAACAGAAACGTAATTCATAACAACAAGACAACATAAACGACAAAACAACAATATCAAAGACAAAGACAAAAAAAAAAAAATTCACAAAGAAATAAAACCAAAACGAACAAAAGAAACGTAAACAAGAGCAAAGAAAACAAAAAGGAATATGCAAACGTACTAGCCAATTACCAAAGACGAACTCCAAAGAGGGTAGCAGCTCAAGGAACGCAAATCAAACAATCAGCAATATGCAAACGTAGGCTGCTCTCCCAAACAAATGAACGTGAAGCACAAATTGGGAGATAGGAATGAGAAAAAAAAAAAAAAAAAAAAAAACCCGTGTAAAAAAATGCACGTATACGAAAGAATTAAAAAATGAAAAAGGAGGGAAAATAATAACCGGAGAGAGAAAAAAAATCAGCATAAAATCACTGATTTGTTAAAGAAATCAATTAAAGCTAAAAAAGGAAGTAAAAATCTAAATTGTAATCAGAAAAAATCAATCTACAAATAAAATAGAACCTAACCATATAAAGAACATTAGTGAAAATACACAGTAAGGGCACTACTGAAAAGACGAATGCCTTATAAAGATCAAACCGGCATTCTTGTAATATTATATAGTAATTGATATTTTTAAAAATATAGATTCAAGAGTAGGCATTTTATGTAATTACTTCTTTGGATTTGAGCGAGATGACTTTTTTTTTGTTTTTTGTTTTTGTTTTTGGAGACATATAGTAAAACCTTATAAGTTAGGGAGTTTCTCTTATAGGATTAAAAAAATGAAATTATTAGTAGTTTTATTTTTTTCATCAATTTTTAACTGTCAGATTTGCATTAAAAACTGTCTATTTTGCATATGTTTTAATCTTATTTAATTTTAATTAGACTTAACGGTTAAAAAACTGATTCTATGGTTAAAAAACTGATTCTATCGATATGACGGCCTATAAGAGACATTAACATTTAGAACATTTTATAAAGAGCAAACATTGATATCATTAAGATATAAAGTACAGCGTCAGTTTGTTGTATAAACAAAAAAAATGTAAAATAATTACTTTGTAATTTTTCCTCTCTTCCCATCGCCCTTATGCTAGTATTCCTCCGTATATTGTCAATGATCTCCTGCCATCCCTTTGCTTCGGTGATTGTTGTCCATACTCAGTCGCAAAAGATCACAGGCCGCGGCATTGCGATGAGCTCCTTGTGGCAGGAGACAAAGTAGATTGTATCATGAAATCTTGTGTAAGATATAAAATTATATCTCCTTGTACTATATTTTTGTCTTTGCCTTTTGGAGTGACTTGTGAGTTTTCCAACTCTGCTAAAGTGAACTCTAGCATTTTTATTTATTTTTTTTTTTTCATTCCGAATAATTCCAATTCATTCAGATATGCGATCATATACCTACATGATCAGGACCGAGTGATCTTCTACACAATTGAAGCAATTTTCTTTTTTATTCTTCTTTTTACAAGATCTTGTCCTTCTTAAAAGTTCATTTTTCGGGACTACACTTGTTCATTTTTTTTTTCCCTTTGGAGAAGTGACAAAAAGTTAACTAATGCCTGGGCTTGGGTTAAATCAAAGTGTATTCTCTTATGCCTCGTTTATTTTACTGATTTGAGTTTAGAATTTAAATTTTACTACGGTTAGCTTGGGTTAAATCAAATGTATTCTCTTATGACTCGTTTATTTTACTGATTTGAGTTTAGAATTTAAATTTTACTACGGTTAAAAGTTCTCAAAAACAGTCACATTTAATTTTTTTACTTACAATAAAAAACTCACATAAAGTCACATTTCACATCGAATCAACAAACTAAGCGTGCTCTTAGAGTAGAATAATCTTAATAAATACTCTATAAAAATATATGGATTAAGATTTTTATCCTTTACTTTTAGAGTAACATCAACAACACTACAAATGTAAACTCTAGCCCTGTTCATATTAGACTTAAGTTATTACTTTTTTTTGTTGACTCCGAGTTTAGTTAATACTTAATACTAATTGAACAACAATTATAGTCTCTATAGATATTTTGCAAATTATGAGTAATTCCAATTCGTTCAGATATGAGATCATTTTGCCTGCATGAATCACGAACAATTATCCCTTCAACTTGTAAAATATATTTTTATGTGGCCTATGTGTAATATTAAATATTTTTTTCATATATTTTATATTATAATATATAGTTTAATAATTTAATTATTAAACTATATTTTTTTTTCCTTATATCTGTGCCTAAATCTTATTGATTAATTAAGAGATGCAATTTTTGTAAATGAATAATGAAAGGTTTAAGACTCTTCTTACAAGTGTCTCAAAAGTAGTGGCTTTTCTAATGGGTATTTCTTTTTTGAAAAGTTATTATTTTTCCAATAGGTGTTATGCGGAGAGCTGTGACTTTTCTGATAAGTCCTTTTACATTAAGAGTTGTGACTTTTCTTATATGTATTTTGAGCATGTTTAGGAGAGTTTTTGTTTTTACTTTTAATCAGTAAAAAAAATAGATTTAAAAGTTGTGACTTTTTAATAAGTGTTTAGAATAAAGAGTTTAATGGATTAAAATGATTTTTAAATTTTCTAATAAGTAATAAAAGTGTTGGAATTAAGTTTATATTATAAGTTTCAAAGTTTATTCAAAAAAAGTTTTTTTTTAAAAGCTATAATTTCTGGTTTTAACTGGATGCTCTTTCAAAAAATCAAAGTATTTTTAACCGATCATCTAAACACTTTTAAAAATAACTTTTAGACCTTAAAAGTAAAAAAAATAACTTTTAAAAAACTCTCCCAAACACGCCTTATAACCTATTGACACCGAGAAATGTTGTAACTATTAGAATGGTTGTCTAGAAAGATTGCACTTGTTCTATATGGGTGCATTTTGATGGAAGGTACTCCTACATTGTCTATAAATAGAAATTGATCTTCGCTCCACCCATCACGGTTAGTGTTGTTTTTCATCAATTTTTTCTACATTGAAAGTTTCATTAGAGTAGGTATGTTAATTATCTTAATGCTTCATTAGTGAAAATTATTAAAGTTTTAAGATTTTGAATGATAGTTTTATGCAACATAATCAATTGCATCTTAAGAAATAGTAACAATAAATGAAAAATATTCTCTTTATTATCGGTAAAAACTCAAATTTAAATATTTTCCATTTAATTTAATTATTTTTATAAAATATTTAATTTATTATGCCATTAATTTGTAATTATTTTTGTGAAATTTTAAAATCATTCGTCAATTTTTAGTATCTGTTATTAAAACTGTACAAAGATCAAAATTCAAGGAGTAAATTGATAAGAAAAAAGTGTAAAGACTAAAAATGGCACAATGCTCTTATTTTATTATTATTATTATTATTATTTTGCTGGGTTGGCACATTGCTTTTAGTTGAAGGACCAACAATGATATTTATAAAAAAAAATGTATGATCGCAAAATGAGATGATCATAAAAAGAAGACTTTTGGATATCCTCTTAACTTTATGAGTTTAATAAATTAATTTCTTAATTTTTTTGGGCAATTCACTTTTTAATTTTTAAAATTTGTTACAATATTAGTTAAATTAAAAATTAAATTAAAAATTTAGATGAGATTTTACACGTAAGTATTTAATAAGGATAATTTTGGTATTTTTGTATCGAATTGAACTCTTTATACACGTCATGGATGAAAAATTTTTTAAAATTAGGAGACCCTCAATTTTTCTCTCAAAACGATTAATTTCTAATTTCAAAAAAAAAAATTGCTCGTGATGCGTATATGAAGATTAATTTAATATAAAAAGATATTAATTACTCTTATTAAACACTTACATAGAAAATATTGTTTAAATTTTTAAATTCATTTTTATTTTGACAAATATTATAAAGTTTAAAGGGTGAATTGTCAAAAAAAAAAAGGTAAGAGATTAAATTATTAAATTAGCAAAGTTGAAGGGTGTTATGTAAAATAGCCAAAAAAAAAGGGTCAAAATATCAAGCAGCTCCATGGTGGTGGAACCCACATCTTTTTCCACGTGCTCTGCACTAAAATAGCTTCAACCATTCTCAGCCGTACGTTCCTCATTATCAATCCCCCCTTTTTTTTTTTTTTTTGTTGCTAATCCATTATCAATCCACGTTTCTCCGGTTAGCTCTAGGGTGTAAGAAATCCCCTTAATCCGACTAATCCGGCTTATCTAATCTTATTTTACTTGAAAATATATAATTTTTTTTTATTAATTTTTTCAGTTTCAAAATAGCCCAACCCGCACTGTGCGGGTAGACTCGTGGGCCGGGCTTTATTTGACCTATTAAACCCTATCCGGCTGACCATATATTAGTCATAATGTAAAAAAACCCTACAGCCCTGCTTTTGTGTTTCTTCCTCAGTTTATTTCTTTTTCGACCCCTTTGTCCCCTTTGGCCGTTTCTTCTTCTTCTCACTTTCTCCGCTGTTCCTCCTCCGCATTTTACCGCCTCTCCCTCAGACCCTCTTTTCTCTTGTCTCGTCGGCTTGGGCTGTGCAATGGGAAGGCTTGCTCGCGACAAGGGTGGATTTGAAGGGGTTGGTTGGATTTTATTTTTCTCCCTTTTCTTCTTTGAATTGGCCTAACAAGATTGGATTGGCTGTGATTTGTGCAAGGTAAGTGTTTGGGTTGGTTGTGATTTGTGATTTGGTCGTGTTTGCAAGGTAAGTATTGGTTGTGATCTTTTAGATGTGCTTTTTGGTATGAGCATTCGCAAAGGTAAACCCATGGACTAAAAGCAAATTTACTTTGAGTTTATCTAGGCACATGAGAGTCTTGAAATGAGAGTTAGTTTTAAATGGTATTTTGGACAAGAAGCATAATTCTCAATGGAATGAGAAGCAATTTTTTTTCAGATGTTTTTTCTCAAGTATAATTGGTTTGAGAAGCAAATTTTTCTAAAATTTTTTCAGTTTTTAAACAAATTGATGGTTTACCTGAAGTAACCCGGCCAACCCGAGATTAGCCGAGGTAACCGGATAGTGTACGAGTTCTCGGGGCAAGTAGCTTGTTGCGGCCCACTTTTGTCTCATCCCGATTCTTGCGGGCCAGCCCAACTCTCAATTTTTTTTTTTCAGATGTTTTTTCTCAAGTATAATTGGTTTGAGAAGCAAATTTTTCTAAAATTTTTTCAGTTTTTAAAAAAAATGATGGTTTACCCCAAGTAACCTGGCCAACCTGAGATTACCCGAGGTAACCGGATAGTGTACGAGTTCTCGGGGCAAGTAGCTTGTTGCGGCCAACTTTTGTCTCAGCCCGATTCTTGCGGGCCGGCCCAACTCTTTGTTAAAACCCTACCCTACTCAGTCGAATTTCACCCTTAATTAGCTCTGTTTTTTTTAATGAATGAATTTCTTTTTCTTTTTTTACTTTTTATTTTTATTTTTTTAGACCTCATTCATTTTATCAATTTAAATTTTCACTCTTAAAAATTTTTATTTTTATGAAGACAGAATTAAAAATAAAAAAAAACAAAAGGAAGAATATTATTATAAGGAAAAAATAAAGAAAGAAAGAAAGAAAGAAAAATTTTATTAGTAAAATAACTTTTTAAAAATTTTTATTTACAAAATAATCTCTTTTTATAAAAAATGGGTAAGTATTTTTTTTTATAAAAAATAAAAAAAAATTATTTTATTAATTTTATTTTGTTAAACAGTCATTCTAGCATGTTGCCCAAAAGATACCGGTGGAATTCAGAAACCCTAGTTCATCTCAGGTTTTAGGAGTCATTTTAGAAAATAAAGGTTGAGGTTCTTTTGTCTTTTTCCCCCCTAAAAATTCTTTTGCATTTTCCTGGAAAAAAGACTAGAAACAACTTTTACCGGAGAATCTCCCTCTCGTTTCGCCTCTAATTCCTTTCTCGATTTCTTGTTTCCGAGAAAGTTTTGAGAAAACCGTACAGTAAGAGCACATTGATTTTCACCTTTCTCGGTATTTCTTGTTTACTGATCTGTTTTCCCCATGGTTCTGATCGTTTGCTGTTTGTGTTCGCAGGATAAAGGATTGAGAAATGGCGGACGAGACGGCGATGAACGGCGTCGACGATCAGAAGGTGGAGACTTTAGAGCGAGAGAAGCTAAAACTGTTGGCTGAGAACGAAGAGACCAAAGAGAGGATCAAGGAGATGGTGGCGGAGATCGAGAAGCTGAGGAGCGACGAGGCGGAGGCGAAAGAGCGGCTGAGAGATATGGAGAAGGCGATCGAGCGATCGGAGGAGGACAAGAAGGCCGTCGGAGCGATCGCGGCGCGGGCGGCGGAGCTCGAGACCGAGGTCGCGAGGCTCCAGCACGATCTGATATCCGCCATGTCCGAGGGCTCGGAGGCGAATTCCGAGGTCGCGGAGCTGAAGAGGACTTTGGGAGAGAAAGGAGCGAGGATCGAAACCCTAGAGAGTGAGGTCGAGAGCTTGAAGACGGCGAAGGTGGAGAGCTTGAAGAGGGCGAAAGAAATGGAGAGGAAAATCGGGGTTTTGGAGGCGAAAGAAATCGAGGAGAAGAACAAGAAGGTTAGGGTTGAGGAGAAGATGAGAGATCTAGTCGGAGAGAAGGAGAGGGAAATCGACGTCTTCAAGAAGGAAGTCAAGGAATTGGAGTCTGCGATTGCTGCGAAAGCGTCAGAGGTGCAGAAATGGGTTAAGGAGAAATTGAACGTCGAAGCTTTGCTGAGAGAGTCCGAGGAGAGAGCCAAGGCTATGGAGTCCAAGGTCCTTCAGTTGCAGAAGGAGATTAAGGAGAAGACTCTTGAGGTCGTCAATGGCGCTGTCAACGAGGTGAAGGAGATCTTCCATGGAGAGGAGAAGGGTCTGAATTTGCAGTGGCCAGTTCTGGCTGGTTCTGCGGGAGCCATTGTTGTGGGTGTTGCTCTGATCTATGTGTTGTACGCAAGGCGTCGGTGATTTGATCGAAGGAAGCTGGAGGAGGTTAGAGCTTTTTTCGATCATATAAAGTTTCAGTTTTGATAGAATTTAGCGGCTTTATTAAGCCTATGAATAATGACCATCATCATATGGCTTAGCTCATTTTTTTGGGAGTGCTTTGTCGTTGCAGTTTTAGTTGACTTGCTTGTTTGCAAAACTAAATATATTTTTGAAGGAGTTACTATATGATTTGCCATTCTTTTTGTTTATTTATTTATTTATTTTTGGAAGTCATTCTTTTTGTTTTGTTAACATGTTGTTTTATCTGCTTCAAACCCATGTTGAATTGCTTGGAAAAATTCAGTTGTGATACATTTGGATTATTAGTTGTTGGCTTCGCTTGTGCACATATACCAATTTATTTGTACATTTGGATATACAACGTTTGGATTATTAGTTGTTGGCTTCGCTTGTGCACATATACCAATTTATTTCATCTTTTGAATTAGTTTTATATCACACTATACACAAGGAATAGGGATATATGTCTATGTGTGCGTATCATGATCAGCCCGTTTGATGACGGGCCGGTCTTTTGAGGACCTGCTGTGCAGTTGTAGTACCTCTTCTGTCGTCTCATTTTTTTGATGGGGATGGTGCACTTGGAGATGACTTGGGAGAATTTAGCTATTTACTAAACTGATGATCAAAAAACCCCATTTTGTTTCGTTAGGTTTATGCCTTATGGTACCGATTAGTTTGAAGCACTTGGGAATAAGACCAATCGGCAATTGTTTCTATCGACTATGTGCCATATATAAGCTTTGGCTTATGCGTGATTTCTAAATCTCAAGATGCCTTGTTTTTTATTTGTGGATCGGTTGGTTTAATTTGGGTGATGATGAAATCATTTGAGAGTTCAAGACGCACCTCCATACTTGCTTCATTTTATGTGTATGCATTTAATGATTCTCAGCCTTTTGCTAAATCAAACTATTTAGATGTCGAGCTTGAAATTTGATCAGAAATATCAAGTTTACTGTTCAAGGGCGATGGAAATGTGTTCCTGGCATTGCTCCAATGTCCAGCTTTTTCATGGCTGTCCAGTTGAAAGGCAGCTATCAGGACTTGATGATCATTTTCCCAGGCATTGTAGTGAATTCTAAGTCGCTATTTAGATCTTCATTACGCGTTACTTTGACCTGCTGACTTTCTTTTGATGAATACTCTGGAAGTTACTCTCTTTTGTTTACATTTTCGTCATCATCAACGTCTATGCCCCCAATGAACGATGAAAAAGTTCCCCTTTCAGTGGATGAGTTTCCTTTTGGCGTTCACTGTAGGTTTGGGTGATGTGAAGTTATGCTTTTGTCTGTGGAAACAAAATGGTGTGGTGGGAACAAGAAGGAATTATTCCATTTGGCTTTTAACTTGATGCGTTTGTGTGAAGTTTCTTTCCATGGTTCATTTGGTTATTTTCTGCCTTGAATTGGTGGGATTTCCTCAACGAAAAGTGCTTCCTCGAAGCTAAACAAAGGCTGCCTTGTTGCTGAAAATTCGCGGTCCTCAAAGGGCTAAAGCTCAAGCTTGGACACAAAGCATGTTAAGGAATTGTTACGATTTTTTTTTTTCATCGTAACAAGTGGCCCTTAATCTTAATCTGTTGGAGTTTCCTCTAATTGCCTAGTGAAATGACCAATGAGTTTGAGTATTTTTGTAACAAAATAGAAATATTGGCGCATGAAAGACTGGATGTAACTGGGTAATATCTTATAGTATTGGATTTCAAAATAAAAGTTGTTTTCTTTTTTGTGTTTTGTTTCTTCATTAATCACGAAAATGCTGGAATCCGAATAATTAAGCTCCAGATTTTCTTGAAAGGATGAACAATTGACTGGCAAAGAGAGCACTACACGCTGCTATGCGGTCTGCTTAAAAGGATTTTTCATGTTTTAAAAATTGGCCTCAAGACACTCGGAGTGGGAGGATAACTTTTTTCGTATTATTTAATTAGAGAACTATAATTCAAAAGTTATATAAAAAAAAAGAGAAAATTACGTAATTTATCCTTAAAAATATATAAGTCTAGATTTTACTCATCATTCTTAATTAATATTTTTTATGAGTATAATTATTTGACTAAAAGAGTTATTAATCAAGAATAGGTAATAGAAATTTTAATTCATGTATTTTTAAAGGGTATTTGTCTTTTTTTCAATTAAATATAGAGTACTGAATGTAAGTTTTTCCTGAATTCTTACATCTCAATCATGCAAACTGATATGTAACTAGTGGAACCAACAATTCGTACCTTCACCCTCACAGGGAATAAGTTCAAGAAGGCAACATCATCTCAACTTGAACGTATCCCAACTATTCGGCTCAATCCTAACATGTGTGCTGCCAAGCTCAACAAGTGTGGGAATCCTCGGTGATCCCTTAAATTAACCAACTTTAAAAAAAAAAAAAAATCACTTCTTTGGTTTTCTGGAACAGTCTCTTTATTTAGATCATTTTTCCATTCACATCAAGTTAAGCATTATTCAATTCGCTAATTTGAGTTTTTAATTTGATTTAAGATGTGACTTTATGTGAGAGTTTTTAACTATAGTAAAAAAAATTATGTGACTTTTGTGAGAGCTTTTAACTATAGTAAAACTAGAATTGAAAACTTGAATCGGTAAAATAAACGGACATGTAGTTACCAAATGTTCTTTTCTGTTCTACAGGTGAGTCATCAAGTTAGTTGTCAATCGTCAGTTTTGAAAAAAAGGAGGCAAATACCCATTCGAAGCATGAGAATTAGATTTTTATTCTTTTATACTTTTTAGTCAAAAATATTATATTAATCAAAAGGATATTAATCAAAGAATAAATGATAAAAATCTTAAAACAATATATTTAAAAGATGAGTTCACTAATTTTCTCTAAGTTTTTTTTCCCTCTATCTTGGTCATGTTTACTAATTACTATGATTAACAATCAAATAAAATAAATTGCATAACATCCAAACCCATGTGAAGGACATTATCTCTATCTTGGTCGTGTATCAGCATAAAATCTGCAATAAACGGTTAGATACACCTTATTTTGTAATACCGATTCGGAATGGAAGGACAAAAAGTTAAAAGTAGAGATGGACTAAAGAGCAAATTGGTGAAATGTGAAGAACATTATCTTTATCAATTCTTATATTCGTAATTCGAGCAACTGCCGCATGCAACTGGTGCTCAATGGCCTTATAAGCAGTGACCACAATGCGTGATTCTAATCCTCCATTGGCATCCAAAAGTAAATGGGCTTGTTCAATCTTTTTCTTCCCTGTTGCCTGTATTCTTGAGACATCATCAAAACCCTGCTTCAATTCAACTTGTCACACAGCAAATTTCGAATATGTTTATATTCCTTTGACCTTTTCGAGTCCATAACCTAAATACTTTCTTCTGATCCTTCTTCACAGCCTTTAAGCTGTATTCCTCGTTTGAGTTCATCATCTGAGGGAAGGAGTTGTTAGATTGCGTGTTGTGTAATAAGGAACGATCAAAATGGATCACTCGGAGGAAGCATATTGTAGAACTGATTTAATGACCATCACTCGTCACGTTCTGAATGAGCAGAACAAGCATCGGGAGGCTTGCGGCGATTTTGCCATCTTGCTTAACCATATTGTTATTGGCTGCAAGTATGTCTGCTCCGTCGTCAACAAGGTCTTTTTAATTTTACTTCTCTCTCTCTCTAATGCCACTATTAATTCTTTGCATTTTGGAAAACTTAATAGCTACTTTGTAGCCTTCTCACATTCACCAAAAAATAAACAACACGCAAGTTCTCTACAACAATGAGAAGTTACTTGACATCCGAGTGTTATACAACTCTAGCATAGCTTGTTTTATCACATTTTTTTAGGTAGTAGAATAAACCAAGTTCTCTTTAGTCCTCGCTAAATTACACTTTTCAGAACAGGCATTTTTGCCTTTCCACCTTTAACTTTGCAGGCAGGGCTTGCAAAACTCATTGGACTTGCAGGGAACTCCAATGTCCAGGTGAGCTTTCTGCACGTTCGTCGACTTCGTTAAACAAGTTGATCGTGCAAAGCAATCATGTATAAAGAAACTTGTATTCGCAAACTGTATTCAACTTTCGGGGTGAAGAACAGAAGAAACTGGATGTGCTTTCGAATGAAGTTTTTGTCAAGGCATTAATTAGCAGTGGATGCACTGTAAGTACATTCTCGCATCCTATCTTCTTCATGGTCTGCCCTGCATTTTAAATGATCTAAATCTTTCAATTTGACCCCTTTTCCTCCTTTCATTTACAAATCTTTTTGCCAGTGCATCCTTGTTTCGGAAGAGAATGAAGAGGCTATATTTGTTGAGCCATCGAAGCGTGGAAGGTTCATTCTTCAAATATCTGATTTCTTCTGTTCTTCTAAATCCTTGCCAATACTCTCAGGCTCATGTTAATACATGTTCAACATCTTTCTTGATTATGCAGATATATCGTTGTTTTTGACCCGTTGGATGGATCCTCAAACATCGATTGTGGAGTTTCCGTTGGAACCGTATTAGCCTTCGTTCCTTAGCCTGCAAATGCTACGATTTTCCTTTAAGAATTGACAACACATCCCGGTTTCTTAATTTGTATCTTCTAGAACTAACTTGTGTTATCTCTTCTTGCCTAAGATATTTGGCATTTACATGGTGGAAGACAAGAATAATCCTAATCTTAATGTGTGTTTGATAAGGGGATTCGTACCCTGATTCGAATCATGATTCATGATTCGTTACAGTATTTTCTCTCACAAATAATACACGTAAATCGAAAATAGTTCTAATCTCATGATTCTAATCCATGAATTAAAAGTCTCTTTAGTGATGTATTGCGACCCGGAAAGAACATGGTAGCAACTGGTTACTGCATGTATGGGAGCTCTTGCATGATAGATACAACAAACAGTCTTTTATCTGCATCATGAAATTTCTTTCTTTTTTTCTTCAGCGACTTTTTATGGTAGTCCTTACAAAAATAGACTATCGATAGTCCTTTACTTTTCAACTGTCGAATCTATATTAGAATTTATATGTTCTGCATACTTTTTCACTCCAACGTTATTTTAATTAGATCTAACGGTCAAAAACTGAGACTACCAGTAGGCGGACTACCAGAAAAACTTTTTTTTTTTTTTTTTTTTTTAATGTTATAAATGAAACTGCTTCAATCTTTTTTTCTTCAAACTCTGTAAAGTCTTTGTTTTTTGTTTCAACTTCACTAGAAGTTAATGCAATATATTTAATGCAGTTGGTGCTTAGTAGTGGAAGTGGTGCAATGGATTCACAATTGTGGAGAGTTCATACTAACTCATCCCAATATCAAGGTTAGCATAGCTTTTTGCACCCCCCTGTTTTAGTTGTTTTCAACGTTCCATTTGCTAGAGTATGCCTATACGACAATAGCACAGCATGAATTTTACAGCGAGTTCTACTTTGGACAGATTCCAAAGACGGGAAAGATCTATTCAGTGAATGAAGGAAATGCTAGGAACTGGGATGAACACACTGCCGAGTATGTTTTAATGACTCATTAATGATTCTGAAGCAAAGATTATTTGCTGTTTTTCCCTTCTGGTTTTCCCAGTAACATTTCCAATTCCTTCTCATAGATATGTGGAAAATTGCAAGTTCCCCCATGACGGTTCTTTGCCAAAGTCCCTTAGATACATCGGAAGGTTTACGATTTATAGACTGCCTGTTCTTATAGATATTTTATGGGGTTGATTTTTCAGGTCAAATTTACATATTCAGTATTTGGATTTGCACTCAGATTGAATAATTCAAGGAATGAGAGAACTCTTGCTAGTTTCTGAACGCATAGTAAAACACCAATGCATAATGATCTATATGATTCTTTCATTGTATAAAAGAATAGTTTAAAATGCATAATGAAATTAGTCCTCAAGTGAAATTGAAAAAAGAAAGAAAAGAAGGGACTAACAGTTGTTTCTTCAACCTTTGCTTTTGGTATCTTTCCTAACAACAAATATGTGCTCTCTTCATTTACTTGGTGCTGATATATAGTTATATAATGAATACAGCATGGTTGCTGATATCCACCGAACTTTGCTTTATGGGGGTATCTTCATGTACCCTGCAGACAAGAAAAGCCCGAATGGAAAACTACGGTAGTTTCATCCCCCTTTAAACAACATCAAATTAACAATATGGGAAGATTACTCCAAACACTATCTTATTAATTTCTCACTACGGTAGTTTCATCCCCCTTTAAACAACATCAAATTAACAATATGGGAAGATAACTCCAAACACTATCTTATTAATTTCTCACTATAGGTCATTATGATTGGATTTTTAACTTATTTTCAAACAGCGTTCTCTACAAAGTATTTCCAATGTGTTGGCAAGCAACGGGTATTGGCCATTGTTTCCTTTTCCAAAAACATTTTCTTTTTTAACTTTATGGGAAATAATACCAAGTTCAAAAAACTTTGGGAGAGTAGAAAGTAGAAAGTTTCAATCACTTTTTAATAGAAAGTGGTTTCTAATTGCAGGCACTTCATTTGGTCCCAAAGAAGATACATGAGAGGTCCCCTATATTTCTTGGTAGCCATGAAGATATTGAGGAAATTAAAGAACTTTATGCTGCTTTTGAAGACAAAAACGCATAGCCTTTGTAGTTTTCCAATCTATTCATGTATCAGTTTGATGATGAGCAAAATATCATCTTTGCATAGTACAATACAATAAGTGAAAATATTTTGACCCCTAAAAATATATTGTTGAACGAATTAAGAATTTTATCTATTATCTTTGCCTAAAATGACTTTCTAATTTACACAACAAATAGCTACAAAGCTACGCTGAATGGACCAGCACAAAACAAACAAATTAACAATTGAATATGGAGGTAACCCATTAGATTACTTCTCAAGAAATTGCATCAAACATAAACTTGTAAGCAAAATTGAGACACATGATCATGTGTACTTGTAACAAAATTGAAGTGTTTAAGTCTCGTTCAGTTCACGAATTTGAATTTTTAATTCGAATTAAGATGTGATTTTATGTTACAAATTTTTTACTATAAGAGAAAAAGTTATATCTGATTTTTTATAAAAGTTTTTAGCTTTATTCGTTTCGTAAATTTGAGTTTTTAATTCAAGTTGAGAAGTAATATTTTTAAAAAATTTTTAACTATGGCAGAAGAAGATGCGAAGAGTTTTTAACCGTAAAAATTTAAAACTGTAACTCAAATCGGTAACTAGAATTAAAAACTCAAATTCGTAAAATTTGTAAAATGAACGATATATCTTAGCGTTACCATTAGACCAGACGACGAACAGGGCGTGATGGCTTCTTCACGTAAGATGAATTCCATTCCCCTCCATCTTGAGCATAGTAATCCATGGGGTACTCTCCTCCAACCCGTTCCGACTCCGACATTCCGTTTCCGCAGCCGCAAGACGAGCATTTCCGGTTACAACAATCGGAATCCTTCTTCTCCCACCATCCCGGAATGTATCCTAAAGCAATCTCGGCCTCGAACGACGTCAGAAGCGGCTTCCTAAACGCGTCGCCCCAGTCAATGGAGAGCCTAGGGCAAGCAATCTGGATCCAAGCTTCCACAGAGTCCTCGAACAATCCGATCCTCGCCGGACTAATCTCCGACATCAGAACGACGGTGTAAGAGAAGCCTTTCTCTCTCATTTTCCTTTCCAATCTCTCCAGAATCCTCGGATTCCCTTGCCTTCCCAATGTGCCCAATATGATCCCCCAATTCTTCGCCTCCTTCGTTTTCAAGATGGCGTCTTTTCTCGACTCTCTCATCCCTCTCTGATCGTACTCCTCCAAGAACAGCTTCCCTAGGTAAGGATCGTACCGGAAGGTTTTGATTCCCGGATTCGCGATCATCATCGCTTCCAAATGGAATCTCCCGTCGGCAACGAACACCACCACCGTCTCGGTCTCGGTCTCGTTTCCGCCATTGTTGAATTTCGGAAAGGAAGAGGAGGAGACCTTCGGCGCGGTGCATCCGAGAACTTCGCCGGCGGATAACGGCTTCGATTGGGGGATCAGGATGGTAAATCCGCGGCGTTCGAGGTCCGGCTTGGCCGATCGGATCGCTGAGGCGAACTGGATAGTTCCGGCGAGGACGACGTTGGAGGATCGGGGAACGTTGAGATCGACGGTGCGGATTAAGAGATCGACGTCGATGGAGACATCGACGAAGACGTAGAGGCAGGGGACGGCGGTGACGTTGACGGGGACGAGGCAGCTGTGGCCGTAGTGGATGAGGAGGTCGGTGGAGAGGGCGGAGGCGGCGAGGTCGTCGACGCAGCAAGCGCCGTAGGTTACGTCGCCGAGGACGAAGCAGTGGGTGGCGCCGCCGAAGGTGGAGATGATGTCGGAGAGGGCGAGGGAGTACATGAGGAGGCCCTCGGGGAGCTGGAGGGCGACGCGCGAGGCGGAAGTGGAGCGCACGCGCCAGACGCATTTGTGGATTTCGAAGTTGTAGTTGGGAGGAAGGAGGGCTACGGCGGCGTTGAGGTCGGGGTCGTTAAGGATGGAGTCTGGGATTTGGCTCTTCACGAACCGCTTCGGAACTCTCTTCTCTCCCGCGCCATCGCCACCGTTGGTGGTGGTGGTGGTTTGGGAAGGTTGCCGAGGAAGAAGCGAGAGGTCGCCTTCTCTCTTCTGTTGTTGGTGGTCGTCTTCCATGGCGATACCGCGACTATTTCGCTGTGTTTTTGGATGGATTTGTTTGTTAGAACTATGAAGAAGAAATTGGGATTTTGGGATTTTAGGCAGGCAACAAGGGTTTTATCCCAAAAAAAAAAAAAAAAAGAAAGCTACTAAAAGGAATATTCTTTTTATAATTTTGTAACTATGAAATTAGAATTACACTTTTCTGATTTTTTCCCTCTTCTAGCAAATATTTTTTTGAAAGGAAAAACCGTAACAATCAACACAATACAATACTAATGGTCTGTTAGAGAGACATATTCATGCTTGAAGCTTAAAAACGAGAGAAAATCACGACCTATTAATAATGAGCACATTTAAAACTCTAATTAAAAAACACATCACATCGAGATAAGCTTATGAGCTTTAGAGAAATTGCTTATCAAACCCCATTAAAAAAGGACATCAGTACTACAACCTAAAAGAAATTCTAACTGGACCAACAATTCTACACTAACAAGAAATAAACAATTAAAGTTGGAAAATGAGAAAGCCACATCCATTATTACAAAGTAAAACCGAACACACGACAACGGCCAAAAAAAAATAGAAACACACTAAAATTAATGTCATAAATGTCTTTATTTGACAAACACACGTATTAAAATAAGAGAGTATAAGTGATACCAACAATATCTCAGATAACACCGACCACCACTATAGATGAGCAAACCAGCAGCTCGAGGAGAAGTTAGTAGAGCCCAGCCAATCATGTCGCCTCCAATCTCCGCTGCAAAGGTAAAAAAAATAGTTAAAAGGGGGAATACGACAAAAACAAAACAAAAAATTAAAAAAATTAAAAACGTAAAAAAAAAAGAGAAAAAATTGAAAAACCGTAAAAAACACTAAAAGGTCAAAAAAAAAAAAAAAAAAAAGGCGAAAGAATGAAAAACACAAAAAAGAAAAAAAAATGAAAAACCGAAAAAAAACCTAAAAAGGAAAAAAAAAAAAAAAAAAAAGTGTCGAAGCATGGATACACGGAAAATAACTATATATGTAAAAATTATATAGTATAAAATATCGTTGTTTTAAAATGTGGTACAAGGATATACATGTATGGCTTGCATGTAATAGAAAGCTGGACAAAAGATAAGTGTCTTGACACTTGCCAGTATGTTCTTTCTTTCCTTGACTCATCAGATGGCATGAGCATGAATATTATAAATAAAGAAAGGTAGAGGGAAAAAAATACATAGAAAGAAAATAAGTGTTTTTTTGATTAGTTAAGAAAATAAGTGTTTTTTTATTAGTTCCGTGACCGATTCGAGTTTTTAATTTCAATATGCACGTTTAAAATCTATTTTAAAATAATTTTATTTTTTATATAAAAATAGAAATAAAAACGTTTTTAATTTTAGACAAAAATTATTTTTGCATAAAGAAAATGTATTTAATAATTTTATTTATAAATTATTTTTAATATAAGAAAAAATTGAAATTCTGTTTAGTTTAACATTTTTTAAAATATGTAATATATCTTTTAAATAATATACATATCTGTTAAGATTTACTAGATTTATTTTTATAAACTCTAAGTGATACTTTTTTGTATTTACTAATTTTTTATTTACATAATATTACTATTTTTTTTGTTGATAAACTCTAAAAGACAACCGTAAGCTTCTTCCCTTATATGGTTCCCAGACGCCGCAACTGCACCCCTCTTCATTGAGATCAGCCCTACCATCCAACAGAGAACCACCTCCGGTGAGACGAGCCCTGCCACCACCCCTAAAGAGATGCTCCTCCAACACAACTTCGCACTACCGATTAGATCTATCCCAAATTTAGCAGCCTTCACCTTCTCTAAATCAGAATATGAATTGCATCAAGGCAGACTGCAGATATATATATATACACACATGAATCACTTAACCAGAGCAAAATATGTAAAATAAGACACCATGTTTAGAAAGTACATAAATTATGACAATCCAACTTCTCGAGAAGGATCCATATTACAAAGCAAAATATGTAAAAGAAGACACCAGGTTTAGAAAGTACATAAATTATGATAGTCCACCACCGTGGAACAAGAAATCGCCGGCGAGATCTAACCCCATGTGAGGAAGTCATCTACACCCTCAACTATTTCCACCTCTTCAGATGGTGCCTTACCTTGTTTTTTTTGTTTTTTTTTTTTCACTTTGATACAGGTTATTAATCGTTGGCCAAATCTTTTGCTAATATTTTCTTACCGTTGGCTTAAACAAGGTAAGGCTCTTTTTTTTTTCTTTTTTTTTTTTCCTTTTTATTTTGCTAATTCGATTTGATTTGCCCATTTGGCTTTTAGATAATTGTTGCTGTAATCTGAAACATTCGCTTTCCAATTCATTTGGGTTTAGATTTCTGTAGTTTGATTTTTGTTGTGATCAGAGTTTGTTCTAATTAGTGTGTTTGGACTTTGTCAGCTATATTAACGGTTTCTAAAAATTTTGGTGGTTTTATATCGTGCTTTTGGTTATGGATTTGGGTTTGGTTGAAATCCTTATCTTGATTTGTCTCATGGTTTTTTCTTTAAGTTGCTTTTCTCCTGTTATATATGCCATATATCTGCATCTATTACAGGTACAACTATTGATAAGGAAATAATTATTGTGGTATTAACGACCGAAATGGCTTTGCTTAAGGCACAAAACTCAATTTTCTTGTTTTGTGTAATATAGACCATGTACGAGCATGGTTTTTATTTGCCAGCTGCCACTATGGTGTTTAGTTGATATACACATTGAATAGTTTTGCGTTGACAGTTTCTTTTTGGTATTCATTTTCTTACAGCTATCATGGACAGATTTTATGTGTTATCTTTACATGCTTCTAAAGCGGAATGCGTTTTTTCAGAACGAAATGTGTTTTCTTCTTCTTTGTTTGAAAACCCATTCCTATTCTCTCTCTCATCTCTTGGCCTCTTCATCAAGATTTTTGTCTCCACAAAGAGCTCAATGATTTAATCAAACGGAAGGGAAGAAGGCGAATCTCCTTTACCTCTTTGTGCATTTGCGTTCTTTGGCAGCCCTTTTTAAATTTTCTGGTAATATTTCCTTTTTTCCTGATAGTCTAATATTGCATTTGTGCTCTATTGTACTTCTATTGTATCTTTTTGTTATTTTCTTGCAGTCGTTTAAGTACAATGGATTTCGCTCAGATCTCTATTTGGTATCGGGTTTTGTTCAGAGCCTTTATCTGATGTCGTTCTGTGTTAGATATTTGCTTATTTTGTGGTCAAACTAAAGGATAGTTGTTCATTTGTCAAGGTGTAGCTGGTATGTTTCTTATGGGACCTTAAATTTTAAGGGTGCTCTTATCAATTAAAATTAGAATCTTTGCAATTGTCCAATCTTCCCATTGCTATTTGTTAAAGAGTTTATGAGGTAGTTGCTGTAAAATTATTGTGTTATGAAAATCTACTACTTTCATAAATGGAGAGGTGTAGATTTGCTCTTAAATTTTATTACTCTTTCGTGCTTGGTATAATAGAATCCTGTCTACTAATGTTTGGTTCTCAACTCTATATGGTAGCCTTACTTTCTAAAAGTACATTATGCAAGAAGGGGTATAAAAAACTTTTTTTCTCTGGTTTTTGTTACTGGTGTTATGACCCTACACTTATTGTGCCCTTGATAGAATTATGGTCCTTTAGTTTTTCCAAAAAAAAAAAAAAAAAGAGGGTACCTTTTCCATTTTGTTTCGCTTGTGTGAACTTTGACTCCTACAAGTGATCATGTTTCTTCCAGGTAAGCAAGCATCCAAATTACTTTCTTGAGATACCTATATATTTGTACTCCATTTGATCCGAGTTTTTTGAACATTTTTAAACAAAATTTTTTCATAGATTCACTAGCATCTCTTAATTATTTTTTAAACGAACAAGAGAAATGTCTTACACATGGTTTTTTTCTCTTGGTAGAGGAAAACATGAACTACACGCCTCACAACTTGATTTGAAAGTTAAAACTTGAGGTTTAACAGAGGTCAACTCTTTATCTTTGTTGTCTAATTTTGCATGTGGAAAAACACCTGGATACTGGAAGTCAAAAGCTAAGTCATGCTCTGTACCAGGTATTATTGAGGTAAAATGATGATCTATTTGTTGTGGCATTTCCTCGAATCTTTATTATGTGCAATTTTGCTTGATTCAAACAAGGCTTCTAACGCATCTTTGTTTATATTGTTAATTTTTCATGTTAGCTCTGATAGTTCTGCGTAGCTTTTTGCTGTTGCAAATGCTGCTAAGAATGCTCAAGCAATCATTGGCATACCCACACTCTTGGATGAGTATGAAAACATTTTTGATGTAAGATATTCTTATCCTACATTTATTTTTTCAATCTTGCTGTGTAACATCATTATCCTTGGCTTACAGTTTTCATTGTTCTAGACATTGCAACAGAAACCTGGAAGCTTGCTTTAAGGTATTTTAATACGATGACCTGAGCCGCTGATTGAAAGAGAATTAATATGCTCCGTTCACTTCGCTGATTCGAGTTTAGAATTCGAGTTGAGATGTGATTTTATGTGAGAGCTTTTTACTGTAGCAAAAAAGTTAGATGTGATTGTTTGTGAGAGCTTTTTACTGTAGAAAAACTCGAATTCTAAACTCGAATCAGCGAAGTGAACGAGGCCCGTTTGTATTATATCAGGGGGCGTTCGGTTCGTGGATAAAACTCAAGTTAGCCCAACTCAAGTTCAGTTTTGGGCCTTGTGTTGCGTTCGGTAACCAAAACTCGAATTCAAAACTCGAGTATGAATTCTAGTTAGCAAACCTCACCCACCCCTTGAATTCACATTTACTTGAGTCAGTCCGCTATAGTGTGGATTCTCTGCATGCTCAGCCTTTTCCCTGCCGCGTATTACCATTGCTTGTCCTCCCTTCCTTTCCAAAGCTTGTTTCTTCTGGGCTCACGAGAAAGGGAAATAAGCTCTCTCTTCTCTCACCATCTCCCATCTTTTACAGTCGGATTCCCTGAGAAAGCTGGTTCCTTCAGGGGCCGCGAATGCAGTTCAAATTGTGTGGACTTGTGCAAATCGAGGGTCCCTGATGTATCCCTTCATCATTCACCCATAAATCCCCCCAAAACCACCCTTTTTTCCTCAATCTCAACCAAAGAACAAACCCTAGATTCCTTTGGCTTTCCCGTCTCCTTCAGTTTTCAAAATGGAGACAATTGCTCCGATGAGAGTGAAGCAGCGTCCTCACTTGGCCGTAATCTTGAGTCAATGTAGAGTGAAATGCCGTTTTCGAGCACCGAACCGTTGTCCCCAGTATAGGTCTTTCCGTTGTCGTTGCCGTTGTTGAACTTCTTTGGCAGATCCGTCATACTTGCGTTTGGGGGTTCTTGAAGCAGAGCATCCTTTGTCATACATGCCATATTGCAAGGTTATTTGTTTAACAGAGCAAAACATGAACCAGTACATATTGCAAGGTCTTTTGTCTAACAGAGCAACATAATCTGAGACTGACGAGCATAACAAAATGTTGGAAAGTTTGTTTTTTTTTTTTTTTTTTTTAATACTATTTTTTAAGGGAACTGGTGGATCATTGGAATCAATTACTTATTGGAGTTGGATAGATAACACAGTTTCGTTATAACTTGGTGAGAGATAGAAAAAAAAAATTGTTATGACTGTTATTAAACATAATTAAGCACATAATTGTGAGAAAGAAAACGAAAAGGTTTTCCTCAAAAAGTCAGCAAATATACAGAAAAGTATCTGGAATGCCGAAAAATGGCTGTGTTGCACTGAAAATGTACAAAGAATTAGAGGGAGAGAAGGAGAGAGAACATGTATGTGAGGTGTGAAATAATTTTTAAAAAAAAACCATGTACATTTAGATTACAATAGAGTAAATTTGAATTTAGCTTAATCACGAAGCCATAATATTCGATCTTCCCTACTAGATTTATCACAAAAGCAGTGTCTTAAGATACATTTCTCATTCCTAAAATGAATTTATCTTAATCACGTCTAATTATTTCCTATTAGTGTGTCTTGACTCAAATTCAAATTTCACAAATGACTTTATAATTCAATTTGAGGGTTCTTTAAAAATTAAAATTCAATTTATTAGTTTGGTTTCTCATCTAATTCCGGTTTAAAAATAAGTTTTTGAAAAAATTTCGGTAGCATACCAACATAAATAGAAAAAATGTCCAATTCAAGTTCAATTTCACAATAAATTCTCCAGAAATTATCAAAATCAGTTTCTACTTAATTCAACAAGTCCAACAACTAAAAACTCCAAATTCTAACAGCAATTATTCAACTCTAAACCCTAATTTAAAATTATTCAAATCTAACTAAATTATCAAATTCTCAAATCAATAACTCAATTTTAAGTATGAGTTTTCAAGAAATCTTTATCTCAAAATGATTAAAGTTCGCTTTTCTTCATTTCTCTCTGTTTTTTTAGTGTCTTGACCGTACAACCAAGAGAGAGGGAGAAAGAGAAAAATGGCCGGAGAGAGAAGGCCGGTGGGAGAGAGAGAGCCCAGAGAGGAAGTGGCCGGCGTGGAAGAAAAAAAAAAGAAGAGAGAGAGAGAGGTGTGCTGCCGTGAGACCAGAGGAGAGAGAGAGGAAAAAGAAAAAGAAAGAAAGAGAGGGTGAGAGAGTTCTGGGCAGCCACGGGGAAGGAATGGAAGGAAAAAGAAAAAAATAAAATAAAAGAATGAAAAGGAAAAGAAAAGAAAGAAAAAAGAAAAAGAAAAGAAAAAGAAAAAAATAGGAAAAAGTAAAGGAAAATATATTGAAATTAAGTGTATTTTTAAAAATTTGTAGGATGAAATTATAAGTACTAAAAATAATTGAAAGTTTTTTAATTAATTGAGAAAATTAAATTAAGCACATTAATAATTTATAATTTAACATAATTAAACATGTTTAATTTTTTATGGCGTTACAGGCCGGTCTGGTCAAACTTTCACCTCTAAATAGATCATTTAGGTTCTTTTATGTTGTTGAGATGTTTTTTCTCGGCACTATGTCAAGAGATGTGATAATTTGTAAAATTTTATATTAGACCTTACAAACTACAACGATAAAGTTATAAAAATTACGATAAATTTATGAATTTAAAAGAATAGAATAACCTAAGCATTTTAGGTTAAAACTTATAAACTCAAACGATTTATCATATTACCAAAGTATCATTTTCTTTCGATTGACCAAATTATGAAGTAAAAGGCTTTTATGGCTATAATATGACTCCTTTTCAAAGTTCTTTATCCTTTCCCTGTCCTACAGATTCCTTTTGATTTATCGAAAGCAAAATATTGCCTTTGAGTGGCATTTAGTACTTTTACTGGAGTAATCTTCTAGTCCTAGATTACCATTTTAACCGATAGTATTTTATTTATCATCTATTAATTTTGTAACGTGCTCCATATATATTGTGTTGAAGATACTTTAAGAGTTTATTATTTACCGAATATAAAAAATTCATTTATATAACAATTTAAAGATTTTTGAATCTATTTAAAAACAAATATGTGTAGAGATAACAATTGACAAAACATAAATAAATAATAAGGATACGTTTGAATAAAATTATTTTATCCAACCAAAAATAAAATAGAAATACATGCGAAAAATTACTCTCATAAGAGTAAATTAAGGAACAATATATTTATAAAAAACACACAAAAAATTAAAATGTAAAAAAAGTTAAAAAATAAGGATAAAAAAGTTAAAAAAAAGGTAAGTAGAAGGGATGCCCTATAGAAAAGAGCTTTGGCTCTTTTGTGTATTGTTAGATTAGAGAAATAATTTTATGACAGATAGAAAAGTTCTAACTAATCACCGTACTCTTTTAATAATTTAAAAGATGTAGAGAGTGGTAAAGAGGGAGTATAATAATTTTAAATATGTTATAAATAATGATGAGTATTTTATTTGTTATTTGAAGAATATAACACAATAAAAGAGAATTGATCTGTTTGATAATGTTCTACATAAAATGCATCTACATCATGGAAAACTAGAGCTATAAAGCAGAAACTTGATATAAACTAATTTTAAAAGTTTTGGTTAATAGTGGTATTATGTGAGGTTTTAGTCTAAACAAAATGATAAAACGATCATTTTATCATGTAATACACATTATTATTTAATTTGACCTTTTTTTTTCCTTAAGCTCTAACAAAACCTCACGTAGTATTATTTTTCATAATATATAGACTGCACTGCCTATTTTGATAAGGCAAGTCTTGTGGATTCAGAAGCCATTTTTAGCGCATAATATAAACATTATTTAACTTGACAATTTTTTCTTAAGCTCTAAGTAATAGAAAAGAGTAGATAAGAAGTAATTAAAAGTGCAAAATGTGAATGGTATAAATAGAAATAAAAATTAAATAGTTTTTTCTTAAGTTTTAAATAAAAAAAAATGTAGATAACAAGTAAATAAAAAATACAAAAAGTGAAGGGCATAAATCAAAATAAAAATTAAATGGAGAAAAACGGACAAAAGAGTATAAAGAGACATAGTAAAACGCCTATTTTTTTTTTTAAAAAAAAAATTATATAGTTCGTTCTTGAAGTTAATAAAGTAATATTGAAGTCAAAAATTCAAATAGAGGGTGTTAGTGTTATTTCCAAAAAAGAATAATATATTTTTATTAAAACATAAAATTATTGAGGATTGAATATGTAATTTTCCCTTCTTTTCAAGCATAATTAATATGTTTTATTGCAAGTAAAAGGAACGCGATAATGGTGAAAAATTGACTGAAAATAAGAGACATAGTAATATCAGTTGATATAACTGAAAATAAATATAACATTTTTCCAGCAATTTAAGGGTTTCAATGGAATTCAAAAAAAAAAAAAAAGAAAAAGAAAAAAGAAAGCAAGGTTTCAATGAAAGTAATATGATTAAATGTATCATGTTCATTTGAAGGTACTCATATTTGGTATCACCATACAATAAGCAATAAATTTGTAAGCAAATAAAAAACAGTAATAACAAAATAAAGTTACTCTAACAAATGCAAAGAAACTTCACACACATAACAAATATGGTCTGCTAAAGAACTTTTGACACCTTAATGTTCGAACTGTTCACTCAAATAACTCTCTGATCTCCAACTTTATTGTGCAACACAAAAACTCTAGAAGTCACTCGAGAGTTGTTAGGTCTTCAATTTCTTGATTTTTTGGACCTATCACAGTCTCTCTAATCTGCAAGAATTTAAAAAAAGAAGAAATCACTAGAGTTTCCTTTTAGAAGATAAAAAGAATTCTAACAGATCAAGAAAAAGCTAAGCTAGTTTGGAAATCATATGTTACTAAAGCATTTTTCTTGAGAAAATCTGATTCAATGCTTTACTTTTATCTTTGGCAGGTTCCTTCATCCTTATAGTTGCTGAATTGCTTAAATGAGTTATAAGTAGTTTCAAGAGTTTCAAAAGCCTCCTTGTAGAAAATATGTTTATCATCTAAAATGATACACAAACACATCAAACAACGAATCAAGTAACCAGATATATACCTATACAATACGTAATACAAATAAAATGATAAAATTGCAGATATCCCTGCTGAATACTTTATGTGCCAGAAGTCATAATTTTTTAAACATATAAATTAAAAATTTTGCATCAAAGTTGAAAACATGTCTTTGAACCACAGCAGGTAACTCTGCAAAAAGCCAGTAGAAAAGTGTTTAGAAATATAGACTTTTCCTCATTATCTAAGGAAATAATTCATGAGAATACAGACACATTAGATAGCTTTAAATGTACTGTAACTACATATAATCCCTTAAGACATTATAATCAATCTCCTAGAAATTTTAAACTCTCTTTTGATTTCAGAAATCACCTTGAGTTTATCGGTCAGATCGTCGCAGAACTTCAAAAAGTCCACAACAGCTCGTCCATGAAGTTGCTTGGAGGGAGGATCTAGTCACAGGCACAGCAGACTGCAAACAAATTCGAAAGCATGAAGCGGTCAGTCAAACCAAAAAAAGAAGAATTCCCAGTAAAAGTAGAAAAAGAAACCATCCACTTTGATAAAGATAAGAGCCGAAAAGGAACATTTTTCTTTTGATGAATTCACAATTCAAATGACAAAACCTAAGCAAGCAAGCACTTACTGGATTCTCTGTGTTTTCAGCAATCTCAGAGTTGCAAGCATTTCCACTTGCAGCCTCAGAAGCAGCTTGTGATGACTGCCCAGTATTATTCTCTTCTAAGATTGGCAATTTTAGCCCTTCAATTCCCTCCGAAACTTCTTCTGAAGCGGAATTAGCCTCATCCTTCTGATCCACACAAGTTATATCCTCATCATAAAAATCATTATTCTCATATGAAGACTGCAATTTGGTTTCCTCAATACCCTTTGACATAAAATCCGCAACGACATCATTCTCAACCGAAGATGATGTTAATGTCTTTTCCTCGGTTTCGGCAGGAGAAGAACCATCCATCTCCTCTTTTTCATTCTCAACTAAGGCTTGTTGACTCAAACACACAACAGCTTCTTTTTCTTCCACTTGATCAGGAACCTCCTCATGATCAGGCACTTTATTCTCTTCCTCATCCGAACTGCTTGAACTCGAGCTCGAATCATTGCCATCAAGAAGTTTCTCAGCAGATTCAATAATTTGTTCAATAATAGAGATGCCCCTTTTACTTGCAGGCTCAGAATTATTCTCACCATTAATCTCCAAAACCTTTACAGATTCAACCCCAATTAGTTTGGAGGAGTCTTCAACATCCTCAACAACAACATTCTTACACTCATCGACCGATTGGACTTCCCGGGTCTCCTCAACTTTCCCATTTGATGAATCCTCCATTGCAGAAACTCTCACCTTCCTTTCCTCCTGATCACTGAGTTTCTGATCAGATATATCTGCATTAAGTTGTCATTTAGTCAAAAGAAAGACAACAAAAACGAAATTTAAAAAAAAAAAAGGAATTAGAATTCCAGGTAAAGAAGGAATAAAGTCAGAGAGAGTGGAAACCATCAAAGGGAATAACCAACATACAGAAATTCCAAAGAAGGAGAGAGAGAGAGAGGAAAAACAAAAAGGAAAAAAAATAAATAAAGAAAACAACCTTGGAATTGAAAGGTAGTTGAAGAGTGGTGGATAGGAGGAATGTTGTGGTTCATTCTCTTGGCAGATTTTGGTTTGTTTTTATTTCTCTTCTTTAGAGGCATTACTAGCTTCTTGACTGGTTGTTGAGTTAATATTCTACACATAATACAAAAAAAAAAAAAAAAAAAAAAAAAAAAAAAAAACGTTTCTCTATCAGTCTATTAGAGAATTCTGAGTAGAATGGTAATTTAATTCTTTTAATACAATATTAATAACAATAGTACCGTGCTATGTGTATTATAGAAATATATATATGGTATGTCTACGTTATGCACAATGGGGGACTTGGAAAGGCGGGAGTTTAGGAAAACGGTTGAAAATGGTACGAATGGGATGAAACAACGGGTTAAGCATTAACTTGCCGGCCACCGACTTATGACTGCCTAGTCAAAGCGTTTGTTTTTTTTTTTTTTTTTTTTTTTTTTTTTTTTTTTTATTTTTTTTAATTTTGTTTTGTCTTTTTCTTTCTTAACCAGAAAAGAATCCCAGAGACATGCAAAAGTAAACTTGAAAAGGGAAACTTGTATGGACAAAAGGGCTCATGGGCCGTAGTTCCATGATCGATTTGAATTGGTAGAAAGTAATTCAATGTTCCATGTACTTTATGAATTATGATTATATTTAAATGGGGGCTTCTCTAGTATCTAGCACTAGCTGTTCTCTTTGCTGTTGAACTTCTTTCATGGACAGCCACTACGTTAACTCGTGTATTAATTTGTAGTATTATATTATATAAGCAAAAAACTATGCCAGTCTATTTATGTAGCTAGGGCTGTTCATGGGTTGGGTTGGTGCGGGGTAGGACTTTTTTTTTCCGTCCCAAAAGGTACGGGTTGCACATATTTGACCCCAACGATGTTAGAAAAATTTCACAACCCAACGATGTTCGGGTTGGGTTGGGGCGGTGCGGGGTGGGTTGGGTGGTCGGTTTCAACATTCAAAAAATCAAAGACTTAAAGTTCAATATAATATTCACACTTCATCATTAAATAGAAATAACAACCATCCTTATCAGTCCGGCAAGAGAGCACCGGAGAAAGTGGGCAAGACGGCAGCCGAGAGGACTAAGCAATGAGGAGAGCGTTATGAGAGGGTTCACGGGAGGGGAAGAAGAGGGAAAACTGAAAAGGAAGAGGCAAGAATAGGGGGTTCACGGGAGGGGAGGCCAATAATGAGATTGTGAACCCTAATGTTAGCGAGCCTAGGGGAGAACTTGGGCAGTTCGGCTTGGGCTGAAAGCTTGGGGGTATGTTGTGCGGGTTGGGTTGGGGATTACGGGTTGTTATGGGCCCAACCCGCAATCCGCCCCAAACACTTCGGGCCAGAGGTATAATGAGCCGCAAATTTAAAAATAATGCTGCGGGTTACTTTTTTCGGCTTGGATTGAGGCGGGATGGATTGGGTTTGCGGGTTGTTCGGGTTTATGAACAGCCCTATATGTAGCTGATTTTGAAACGTTTACAAAAATGATATTTGGTTGGTATGTAATATGTATTCTCGAAATTCGGCTGATATTGTTTGGTACAAATCTCATTTTTTATTATTATTAAGAAAAAAGAGAATGCTATAGAGATATTTTCCCCTTTTTGCATTTTCATTATAAGGATTTATTGACATTGCTATATTTGGTCTTCTAAAATTGTTAATTACGAACATGACTAAATGCACTTCCAAATTTTTGTTACAGTTAAAACCATCTTTTTTTGAAAAAAAAAAAAAAAAAGAAAACCAAATACAATTTCAGAGAACGATTCCAGCACTATTATATATATATATATAATAGTGCTGGAATCGTTCTCTGAAATTGTATTTGGTTTTCTTTTTTTTTTTTTTTTAAAAAAAAAAAAAAAAGAAAACCAAATACAATTTCAGAGAACGATTCCAGCACTATTATATATATATATATAATTCTCGTTACTTAAAACAAAATCATTCTACATCCCAAATGGGCCCTAGAAATTTATTTGTTTCCTCTAAATATCTCCAAATTGTATAGGCATATAAAATGTCTCTATGAGTACTCATTGCGACAATTTACTTTTGCCCTTTGCCCATTGAAAGGGAGAGAGAACAAAAGGTCGCAGGAGGTTAGAAACTTAGATAGGAAAAGAGAGATACCCTAACTAGAGTTGAGGGTATAGTAGTCCTTTTAGCCTAGTTTTCACCCATGACAAAAAAAATTCAGAGTGTGTTCATTTATACAAATTAAATCATAACTTGAATTGTGTATGTGAAAAAAAATACTGTAACAATATAATTTAAGTCATAAAATAAATGAAAATGTTTATATAAATATGGTCAAAGTCAATTCTCACTTAAAAATTCATATCCCCTGAATATCTCAAGGTAATAACTAGACTCTCAAAGTGCTAATTTTCAGCCAACTGGATAGGGAAGAGAAAATGTAATAATTACACTATTTGACAAAATTTTATACCTTAAGTTGAAATTTAACAAAATTATCAGAATATTATAAATATAGTAAAAACGACATAGTCATTATTATAATGTTATCAATTTTATATTATATAATGATTTAGTCATTAAAATAATGATATTAAAATTTTGTAATTTTTGTAATATTTTAAAAATTTTGCTATATTTAAACTCTATTATTGAAATTTTGTTGAATGTGTAAATGTCCACAAAAAATTACATAATTTATTTTTAAGATTGTATGAGTCTAAATTTTTAAAACCCTTTTACTAATATAGTTAGTTAACTAAAAATATTATTAATTAAAAGGTAAAAATTCTCACCCATTAAGCTAAATTCTCCATTTTTTTAAGGATTATATTCTCACCCATTAAAAGGTAAAAACTCTCTACGGGCCCAACTGAATGCTGTAACAGACCCAACAATTGCTTAGGCCCACGGGCGGTGCTTCTCATTCATTGTGGATCCTCGGTCCATTAACATATCCATTTCTGATATCCCCCCACCTCGAAGCCATTTCGGTTTCTTAAAACCCTAAACCCACAAAACCCTAGATTCCTCCTCCTCCCTCCTCTTTCTGTTCGCTTCCATGGCTATGGCGGACGCAGCTCCTCCACCACCCTCTTCCACCGACGCAAATGCCAGAATGAGCCCCAAAACGGTGCAGAGAGCCGTGAATTCCCTCCTCAAATGGCGGAATTCCAAGTCCCAAACCCAAAATCCCCAGCTTCTCGACGACGACGAGTTCGTCTACCTTATCCTAACGCTAAAGAAAATCCCCTCCAAAGACCGCATCAACGCGCACAAAATCCCTCTCCCCCACCCACTCCACGCCGGCGAATCCTCCGAGCTCTGCCTCTTCATCGACGACCGCCCCAAATCCGGACTCACCAAGGACGACGCCATGAAAAAGATCAAGTCCGAAGGAATCCCGGTCTCGAAGGTTCTCAAGCTCTCCAAGCTCAAGTCCGATTACCGGCCTTTCGAGGCGAAGCGGAAGCTCTGCGATTCGTACGACATGTTTTTCGCCGATAAGCGGGTGGTTCCGCTTCTGCCGAGGTTGCTCGGGAAGCATTTCTTCAAGAAGAGGAAGATTCCGGTGCCGGTGGACTTGAAGCATCAGAATTGGAAGGAGCAGATCGAGAAGGCCTGCGGTTCGGCGCTGCTGTTTCTGAGGACCGGGACGTGTAGTGTGGTGCGGGTTGCGAAGGCGTCGATGGGGGCGGCGGAGATTGCGGAGAATGCGATGGCGGCGATTAATGGGATTGCGGAGATTGTGCCGAGGAAGTGGGGGAATGTGAGGTCTTTTCATTTGAAGTTGTTGGAGTCTGTGGCGTTGCCGGTTTATCAGGCGTTGCCTGATATCAAGTTGAAGATTGAGGGAATTAAGGAGGACGAAGAGAAGAAGACAGAGAAAGGGGAAGGGGATAAGAGAGTTGGTGAGGATGAGAAGGCGGGGAAGAAGAAGAAAAAGGGAAGAATTCATGAAGTACGGTATATGGATGTTAATCATGGAGTGGCCTTGGACGATGAGGACGAGCTCGGTGGCGATGACAATGGCGGCGAGGACATTGCTAAAGGGGAGGACAGTGAAAATGAGAATTTGGGTAGTGGTGAGTTGGTGGGGAAGAAGAGGAAGAAGGGAGAGTTGGCGGATGAGAAACCGTCGAAGAAGTTGGCGAAGACGGTGAAGGATAAAGATGGCGCGAAAAGAAAGAGAGATGGGTTGTCTGGTAAAGCGAAGAAGGAGAATAGTGTTGAGAAGAAGACAGATGAGGATGTTTCGCGGGTCAAAGCGGTTAAAAGCAGAGAGGCTGGTGGAACTAAGGGGAAGAAGGAGAGTGTTGGGAAGTTGAAGAGTGGAGGAACAAAGCTGAAGGTTAAGAAAAGCAAATAGTGGACTGATTAACCATGACTTTGGAGATTTGGCTGCGGTTTTGGACTTAAACAAGTATGTTTTTCATATTTGAGTCCTTTGGCAGATTTTTTTTTTGTTAGTATTCTATCAAGTAATTGAAGTTTTGATCTTTTTTGTTAGTTTATAAAGCATTCAACTTCTTGGTGTCCCCAATTCACATCATTCTGTAATTTGATTATGGAGAGAACTTATAAAAATAGGTTGTGGTTTCATTTCTCATTGTTATATACTTTTCATATTTTCATTACTCTGAATTTGAAATTGTTGGTATTTTGTTTTTCTTAATGTAAGAATGGTTGGTTTATCTTGCGTGAAGTTCCACAGTTATAACTTATTATTAGGAGGTTATTAATGAGAGATTTAAACAATGATAAGGAAGAAAATGAAACTGACTACGTTGGTTTGAGACAATTTCCTTATAGGTCGATGGGAGGTTCGTTAATGAAATTTGCTGCCAGTAATACATTACTAGTTCATAGTCATGGTCGGAATGAATAAAAGAAATTGTTAATCAAGAAATGGTTGATTAACAACCAAAACTGGAATATAAATTGAGATATTTCTTCTGGATAATTCCAAGTGTCAGAGCTTTAACTCCTCTTACACATGAGGATAATTATAAGGTAGGTTCTCCATATTCTATTCAAAACTAGAAACATACTGGAATGGCGTGTTCACAAGCTGATTTATAGTTTCGTTCTCTGTTGAACTCAGTTTGTGTGAGAGTTTTGCTTAACAGTTGAGTACTAGAGTAAAGAGAGGGAATACTGTAGCAAAAAGTTTGAGTTGTGATTGGAATTTTGAAAACTGAAAAGAATGGGGCTTAAATGTTCTTTGAGGAATTCGGGTGTGAATGTTTCCCTGGCTAGGTGTGTATAATATCACTGATTACTTTATTTTTGATGGCTGCATGGTTTCTCGTTATTGATTTCAAACAAGTCCATTGCGATGCTGTTCTCTTTCTAGGATATATGTATTAAGTGGTCTTTTAGTACTCCGACAATACTCGCCGTGCTTTTCCAAAACTTTTACAAGTTTTACTGACGAAACCATTGGTTATAGAAAATTACTGAGGAAGCCATTGGTTTGTATCAATTAAAAATCATCGGAGATCAACATCTTTGGCAGTAGTTTCTGCTCTAGAGAAGAGAGGCTGCAGGTGCTTTTGCCCTGTTGACATGTCCATTCTCTAGCAAAAGCTAGCATTAGTACTTAGGGGGTTTTTTGATATGGGGGTTCAAGGGGTTTGAACCCAGCTTCAGTTCGAATCCGTGTTTGTTTTGCAGAAAGTAAAAAAAAAAGGTTTGAACTCTTAATTTGACATTTGAACCTTCAAGGTTCTCAAGAAATAAAAGGAATTCTAAACTTAAGTTCTCTTGGGTTCTAAAGGTTTGAACCTAGGATCTAACCCCCACAAAACCTCACACATTGTTCAAATCCAAAAGGTCAATTGAAACCCCCCTTACCGAATGAACCCTTAAGCCTTTGGGATAATGTATATTGGAATCGGATACTTAGGGTTCATTTGGTATAAGGATTGAAATCAGGGTGATTTGAGTCTTTTTGATTTGAATAATGATTCATGATTTGAATCATTATTCAGAGTGACTAGAACCTTCGTTTGGACGTGTATATGCATGATTCTGATTCTAACCTGAAATGTGATTCGAACTAGTGTTTAGTTATCTTGTTTTCTGAATTTGAATCATGACCAAAATAATATAATTTAAAAAATTATATAATAAATATAATTCGTTACGTATAATTTAAAAAAAAATATAATTCGTTATATAATTAAAAAAATGAAGTACTGTATAATTCGTTACGTGTAATTTAAAAAAAAATAATAATTCGTTATATAATTAAAAAAATGAAGTACTAGAAAAAAATTATGCAAATAATTATAAGTCAAAATTATAACAAGCTTAAGTGAGAAATAGATAAAAAAAAAATTTGAATAAAATTATATAACAAGCCAAGTATATATCAAACTTGTCTCCCACGGAACTTGAACACAAAATTCCAATTATTATTATTCCTTCAATAAATTAGACAAAATTCCAATTTCTTACAATTAGTGTAGCTTCAGTCCATGAAACTTGAACATTCAATGACCGAGTTAGCGCCTTATAACCACCAGAATTGAAGCCAATCAAATTTCCAGCATATGTCATACTGTTTGCCAAGAGGATGAGATTCTCTTTGAGAACACCTTTGCTCACCATTGATACCGATGTCGAAAGGCGCTATAAAGCAGACAACAAAAATGTAACTCAAATAAGCTATCTCATATACAATTGGGTCAACGATTTCTGCTTTCCTGGGTGAATAGACTAACTTCATAAGTTGTCTCTACCAATTGTATAATGACGTCTATAATAACTTAATAGAAGTATCATAACAATCTTAACTGACTAATTTCTTCTTCCGAACTGAATTAATAGCCTCTTCACATTTTTGAAGAAATTCATACCAATATCCATCTCTTTGAACAGCACCTATTAAATACAGCATAAGTTAGTCAAAAGAAAATGATGGTAGTCACAAACACTATCTCCAGAAAGCAAAACTTGTATTTAATTGTTGCATTTCCTTTATATTTTCTTCTTACAGCTCTCTGTTTTACAATGATCAGATTTTTACATTTCCTTTTCACGTGTTAAGCTGGAAAATCATTTTGTGCCCATTAAAAAAGCAACTTTTCAATACACTTGTCCAACTATTTTTCTATAACCACACCTTGATGTTTTCTTGCTATATGATAACAACCAAAATTCACAGCAAATGATGATTTATGTTCTTAATTTGTGTCTGTTATTATTGTTGTTAACTTGTTCAAATTATTAGGATACATGTAACATGTAACACATTATTATGGCCATGGTAGTTCCTTTAAACCTTCCTAGTGAATTGCTCTGTCATTTTTCTTTTCTGGGTTACCTTAATTGTTTCCTCTTGGCCAAAGGCTGACCTACATGTGTTTTGTTCCTACCCGTGGTATTCACCTTTCAGCTGCTGATTCTTAAGATAATGCTCCTAATAGACCAACACATTATAGTTCTGTATTGACTATCAAATGAGTAATTTGTTATAAGCATCACAGACCCTACAGTGAGGGCAGGGACTTTAAACATTATTGGCTCTTCAAACTCTTCTTGTTTTTGAGACTAAAACCAATAATCAGAACATGAAAAGTCTGTAATTGTTTCTTGCTAGAGAACAATCCCCACCCGTCCAAATTCCAAAGAATATCAGGATTATCAAAGCAATGTTGCCAGAAACAAATAAAAAATTGAACCAAAAATTGAACTCGGAATCACAACCAAGTCCAACACTATCTCCACAAACCACAATCACAACCAAATCAAACACAGAAACCAAAGTCACAACCGAAATCACTCACAACCGAAATCACTATCCACTCTCCAGAAACCAAAGTCACATCCAGAAACCAACGAAAAATTTACAAGGTGAGGAGAGCATACCGTTATAGAGTTCGAATCGGACGATGAGATGAAGGACAACGGAGGCAGCACTCCAAACGCAGAGGATGGTTTCTTCTGAGTCCTCACCGACCTTCTGTCCTCTCTCCGGTGAAGGCGAGGAATGACCTTGCTTCCGTAGTATATGTGAAAGTGGTACTGAATCTGGAGTTTTCTTTGATTGTTGACAAAACCCCTTTTGCTCCGGCCACTTCTCATCAACGGCGACGGATGTGGAACTTGCGAACAACGAGTAGACGAGAAGAGTTTGGAAGAGAGAGATGGAAAAAAGCCAGAGGGGAATCTCGGCTGTTCACCCACGCGAGAGGAAAAGGACTGCAGATTCTCTACTGAAGCATGGGAGAGGAAGTGCATGCCAGTGGTTGTTCGAAGTTGGGTGCGAGCATTAAGTGCACAGTAATTTTTACTGTGCACTGTGGTTTGGAACGGATGAATTAGGGGGGGGCCTGATTTCAAATCAGCCCCCAAAATGATCCAGCCCCCAAAATGATCCTAATCACTCATCTGATTCTAATTTTTACTGTTTATTTTTGCCTTCTCAAACACAGATTGGACCTGAATCAGGGGATTTGAATCCCTCAATCCCCCAACCAAACGGGACCTTATACTACGTTTAGGATCACCTTGGGATTTTAGAGTAATAACAACAGAGAATTCTTTAGTAGGGTATAAAGTAAGACAATTTTAACCATGGGTCCATTAAACTATCAGTACTTTTTTTAATATGATATGATTTTAATGTGATCCGACTATTAAACTATGTGTCCAATCGTTTCACACCCTCCCTTTCCCGACCCTACTAATTCTTTATTGTTAGTCTTCCTCCTCCTTTTGCTTTAGATCTTATTGAGGAGATGATGCATTGATTATTCACATTAAGCTACCGGTATTGTTGCTAGCAAACCAAACCAGAGTCATTGGTTGCAATTGATGTATTGTTGCTGCCATTATGCCCAAATGACATTTATAATACTCTGTAAGAAGAGCTTGGTCATGCTAGAAATACAATTGTTCCTTCTATACATTCATTCCGCAAGGTTTGACATAGAATATCGTTGAAATTACTCTTGTGCTGTTTGTTTCAACCATCCAAACTAAAAAATTCAATTCGGATTATAGTTGAAGTTTCAAATTGATATTTGGTAGAAAATAAATGAGGACAATTTAAACTATTAACTGGTTCAAACTCTTGATCTTATTTTTTTTTCTCAAAAGTCAACCTTTTAATTAGAGGAGTGGAAGGCAAATGCCAGTGTACAAAAGGTTAACGCAAATTAATACTTAACATCAGATAAACATGGGCTTTACATATCTTTCCACACAAGAAAAGTACTACCTGGAATGCAATTCATTAAAGAGCCTCCTCATGTCTCAAGGCACCTATAAACCTTGGCCTTCCTGACACGTCCATCGTGCTCTAAGTTGTATACTTTGAGCGCTAAGCAGAGCTTTATTACAGATAAATGACAGTACTTTGAGCACTAAGCAGAACTTTATTATTGAAGAGAAAAGACGGTACTTGGAGAATTAAGCAGAAATTTATTCGAGAGAAAATTATGTACTTTTGGGTAAAAAATAACACCAACTATTTACTCAACGAGTCTTTCCAGGATGATTTTGATATACAACTCGATCGCCAATGCCAAGTGCAGTCACAACGAAGGCCGTTACGGTTCTAATACTTGTGATTTTGATATAATTTTTAATGGCGAGTCCTC